TAACATTATTTTCGTTGCTACTTCATAACTGTAATTTTGCTACTGTTATAAATTGTGATGTTAATATCCGATATGCAGAATGTATTTTCATTCCCAGGACCAAATTTGACACAAATACCCGATACGCCCAAATTTTAATATTGGGGGTAGGTGGGTGTGTTATTCTGTCATTTGGGAGTTGTAGTTGCTGGGATTTATAGTTCACCTAAAATCAAAGAGCATTCTGAACTCCACAAATGATAGATTTGAACCAAACATGGCACACAGAGCTCCCATGACCAAGAGAAAATACTGGAAGGGTTTGGTGGACATTGACCTTGAGTTTGGGAGTTGTAGTTCACCTACATCCAAAGAACACTGTGGACTCAAACAATGATGCATCTGGATCAAAATGGGCATGAATGCTCAATAATGTGAACACTAGTGGAGTTTGGGGAAAAGAGACTTGACATTTGGGAGTTGTAGTTCCTGGGATTTATAGTTCACCTCCAATCAAAGAGCATTTTGAACCCCACCAATGATAAAATTGGGCCAAACTTCCCACACATAACCCCCTATGACCAACAAAAAAATACTGTGTTTTTTCATGGTCTTTGGCGACTCCTCTGACACCCCCTCACGACCCCCCAGTTGTCCCGACCCCCAAGTTGAGAAACACTGGTTTAGAGGGTAACTGGACACACTCCTGCAGGATAAGTCAATCAAAAGCTGCTAGACAAGTTACTATACCTCTCCACCCCACTGCATCTCTATGGCCAAGGAAATAGCCAAGATCTTGTTGTGGGATGAGGGAATATGAAATGATTTATAGTTTCCAAATCATGACCTCCCTGAACCACTGTAAATGGGATAGCAAGTGTCCCAGAAACAAGCAAGATACAACAGAGTCTTTTCACAGCAAAAACATGCTTCAGACCGTCTGTCAGCAGAGTCCAACTGCCAGCATCTGACCTTATTTACACACAGTTTAGTAAACTCACAGATTCTGATTTTCATCTGAAATATCTTTCAGTATATACAAATATACAATCCAGATTTGCAGATCCTCATTCCTTGTACTTGCAAACAATCAGAGTCATCAGATAGTTACATACAACATAGACTGATACTCACACTGAGTCACAGAGGAGAGAAAAAGATGGATGCTTTCATCCTCGTTATATAGCCACCTGCTGATAGGTCATCAGTCAGTAAGGGACATTGGCTGATGCCATAAGGATGCAGTGGGGTGGAGAGACCTTTGATTGCTTGTTATATAGAGGCACAATAGTGGTGCTAAACCACATTTCTCTTGATTATTGGAATTGTGGTTTCTTCTAGTGTACTTGTTTATTGTCAGCTGTGCAAGAGGGAATGCACTGCAGATATTTCTACAGTAGTTATGAGGAAAATTTTCAGAAGGTTGATGAAAAACACCTTTTTTCAACTGTCCAGAGACTGCTATGAGAGGAATTTTGGACTGATGAGAATCTTCACAGTCCATGACTTATGTGACAAGTTCATGCATAACTGATTGGCATAGGAAATGGCCTTTTTTTGCACAGAAAATGAGACTTTCCTATTGGAAATAGCTGTACTAACTGAATTTTGTCAGTGAGTATGGTTATTATTTTCCTTTGTTTTTCATAAATACTTCTTGATAGATCCTTTAAAGCAGCGGCTCTCAACCTGGGGGTCGCGACACCCAAGGGGGTCGCATGGTCATTTCGGAGGGGTCGCAAGGCCGCCTCCGTTGGCCCCGTCCCAAGGGCACGGGCCAGGTGAGAGCTCCTTTGCAAGAGGCCTGGCCCCATCTTGCCTGCTGCGCACTCTTGCCATCCGGCGTGGGCGCGAGGTGGGCGAGGGGATCTCAGTGTGAGGCCTGGCCTTGCGCAAAGCCCCCTCGCTCGCCTCGCACTTTCACCATCCGGCGAGGGCACGAGGCAGGTGAGGGGATCTCGGTGCGAGGCCTCGCGTAAAGCCCCCTCGCCCGCCTCATGCTTTTGCCATACAGCGAGGGCGTGAGGCGGGCGAGGGGATCTTAGCACAAAGCCCCCTTGTGCAAAGCCCCCTTGCCCACCTCGCACTTTCTCCATCCAGCATGGGCGCAAGGCGGGCGAGGGGTCCTCAGCACGAGGCCTGGCCTCACGCAAAGCCCCCTCGCCCGCCTCGCGCTTTTGCCATCATCAGGACCCCTGAGCGGGTTGCAAGGAGGGTGTCACATGAGTCACCAAAGACCATCTGAAAACACAGCATTTTCTGTTGACCATGGGGCTTCTGACCATGGGGTAAGTTTGCCTCAATTCTATCATTGGTGAGGTTCAGAATGCTCTTTGATTGCAAGTGAACTGTAAATCCCAGCAACTATAGCTCCCAAATGTCAAGGTCTATTTTCACCAAACTCCACCACTGTTCACGTTTGGCTATATTGAGCATTCATGCCAAGTTTGGTCCAGATCAATCATTGTTTGAGTCCACAGTGCTCTCTGGATGTAGGTGAACTACAACTCCAAAACTCAATGCCCATCAAATCCTTCCAGTATTTTCTATTAGTAATGGGAGTTCTGTATGCCAAGTTTAGTTCAATTTCATCATTAGTGGAGTTCAGAATGCTCTTTGATTGTAGGTGAACTATAAATCCCATCAACTACAACTCCCAAATGACAAAATCTCTCCACCCCAACCCCACCAGTATTCAAATTTGGGCCTATCAGGCATTTGTGCCAAATTTGGTTCAATGAATGAAAATACAACCTGCATATCAGATATTGACATTACGATTCATAACAGGAACAACATTACAATTATGAAGTAGCAATGAAAATCATTTTATGTTTGGGGGTCACCACAACATGAGGAACTGTATTAAGGGGTCACACATTAGGAAGGTTGAGAACCACTGCTTTAAAGCAATGGCAGGCCAATGGGCTCTATGTGGCCCTTGGAGCCCTAATGTGTGATACCTGAAGCCAATACACCTCAACATTTTATTAACTTTGGGGTGGGGGTCAGTTTTTGAGCAGTTATTGGCTTGAAACCCCCTAAACAACCCAGCATGTGTATGAATTGGCTTCCATAACTTCTCAGAGCCCCTGAAATCCCCACAGAAAGAAAAATCAACAGAAGATCGGACCAAATGTCATGGCCCTTCTCCTGCCCACAAAACATGATCTCTGCAAGTTTACAGTAAGGAGAAAAGAATCCCTCTTCTAAAGCTACTATTTGCCAATGTGATTTCTAGTTGGACCAAAGTAATTCTGTCTCTATGTCAATTAATGTGGCGTTGGGTGAAGCATAATGCGTATGGGGGAAAAAGACAGGGGTGGTCTTAGAATTACATAGGAAGCTACCAGAGGCATCTGATCTGGGGGCTGGAGATAGGCACATATCTAGGTGATACTCGTATCTTCACTGTCAAGAAGAGGAACCTTTTCTACCTCAACAGACAAAATAGCTTGACTGGCCTCAGGGTCTATACAGTTTAACTTGAGTTATGTCAAGAGGCATGAATTTGCTAGGCTTCCCCAGGCAAGAAAGTGTCTGTCTGGGTCAACCATGTGAAAAGAGTGCAAGGGAAAGAATGGAGAAGGTACTGCAAATCATACAATGCAAAATGTAATCGTAGATTTGCTCGACTGCCCTTTGTACAGGAGCTGCACATCCATGTCCCAGAGGAAACAAAAGGGAAATGGGTGAGGTGCCTAAAAGTAGAGGGAATTGGGGTTCAGGAGTGTGTGAGGAAACAACCTTGAAACAGCATCACCTTCAGACCTTGACACATGGAAGTCTTAGATCTCAACATCGTTCTGGAATTGGGTTGTTGAACAGAATTTGAGAGAGGGGGCCATGAAATAGACCTATATGTGCATCAGGGGAGCTGATGAAGGAGCTGGGGGTGGTGATGGCTGATGATGATTCTGAAGGTGCTGGGGGGTGATGACAACTGATGGTGATTCTGAAGGAGCTGGGGGTGGTGACAGCTAATAGTGATTCTGAAGGAGCTGGGGGTGGTGACGGCTGATGGTGATACTGAAGGAGCTGGGGTTGGTGACAGCTGATGGTGATTCTGAGGAGCTGAAGGTGAAGATGGCTGATGGTGATTCTGAAGGAGCTGGGGTTGGTGACAGCTGATGGTGATTCTGAGGAGCTGGAGGTGAAGATGGCTGATGGTGATTCTGAAGGAGCTGGGGGTGATGACGACTGATGGTGATTCTGAAGGAGCTGGGGGTGGTGATGGCTGATGGTGATTCTGAAGGAGCTGGGGGTGGTGATGGCTGATGGTGATTCCGAAGGAGCTGGGGGTGGGGGTGGCTGATGGTGATTCTGAAGGAGCTGGGGTTGGTGACGACTAATAGTGATTCTGAAGGAGCTAGGGGGTAACAGCTGATGGTGATTCTGAAGGAGCTGGGGGTGGTAACGGCTGATGGTGATTCTGAAGGAGCTAGGGGGTAACGGCTGATGGTGATTCTGAAGGAGCTGGGGGTGGTGACGGCCGACAGGGAGTTCTGACGTGGGCTGGTCAATGAGGTCACTAAAGTCGGAAGTGACTGAACGAATAGACAACAACATGCATCAGGGTATACAGTGAGAAACGTTTGGAGACTCCAGATAATCATACTAAGCTGGCATGCATCTATAGCAAACAGAAAAGGACAATAGAAAGGACTGTCTAAAGTAAGAAAGCAACGGTGAGTATCTTAGCCATCTCAACATCTGGTGGAATTGGCTACCATTATGGTTAGATCTTGAAATACTAGGTTGCCCAGTAAATGGCGATCGATATCAATCCATCTATGAAATTTAGTAAGGTTTCTAACTTTTTCTTCTTTACAGAAGGAGAGGTGGGTAGTGTTGAGTGCTACCATGATGAATGAAATCGTGGTCTCTTCTATGAGCAACGTTGACATCTTCATCTTGATGCAGCCTCCCACCAGCCTTTGACAATACGTGATTTTTCTTTCTTTCCCAAGGAGACAAAAGACCGTGTTTAAGCCATTATAACCAGGTCTCCTCTTTCCTAGATCTCTCTCAGGGCGAATTGTTGGAGGCGTCTGGTGGTTCTTCACCCTCATCATTATCTCCTCCTACACTGCCAACCTTGCGGCCTTCCTGACGGTGGAAAGGATGGTGTCTCCCATAGAAAGTGCCGAAGACTTGGCTAAGCAGACTGAAATTGCCTATGGAACTTTGGATTCAGGATCAACCAAAGAATTTTTTAGAGTGAGTTTCGTGTTCCTTTAAATGTTTAACTGATCTAAAATGATGTCGTGAAATCCTTAAGTATGTGGTCTTGTGGAGAACCCTTTTTAGCAAGGTATTCAGTGGTGCTTTGCAAAAGTAGAATGGGGACACTTCTTTTCATGAACGCTTTAGAGCCTGGATACGCATCAGCAACTCATTTTGTTTGAGCAGATGGTAATGAACTTCCTCCTTTTCCTGGCTGGCCATGATTAAGCCTGCAACTTGTTTTACAACCCTGGCTTTTCTCCTCGTGTCATAACAATGGTCTGATGGTGGGCATTGCACAAAATCTGTAGGTCAAATGCTCCTCTTGCTCAAAAACAAACCCAAATTCCCTCGGGATCTCCATGATTTGACGGACCCCACTTATCCGCATCCCAGGAGGCCAGGCTTAATGTTCCAAATAATGACCAAGTTCCTGCGGCTTTCCAAATAGCAAATTATCCACCAGCCAAGGGGTTTCCTTGCTTTCATAATTGTGATAATAGCCACCTATTTCTAGCTCACAACGCTTTTTGCAGCAATGTGGAGAAGGCGGCATGCTACAAGTGGCAATCAACAAAGCATGACCATTTCCATCCCAGTTTTAGAGAACGTTTGTCCCAGATGGGAGATGGGAAAGCACAACCTCTTTCTCTGTCTATTAATGTATTTTTATTGTCAACAATGCCAACTATGATGTTGAAATTCTCCCCTTTTCTTTCAATGCTCCATTTCAGCCTATGAGCACTGTGCCGTCCGCCCAGACGATATAAAAAATAAAGCTGCGACGTGCTTCTCTCTCTGCCTGAGCAAACTGCAAGTGTCTGTATTGAGAAGCTTGAGATACTCAGGAACTGAGATTACTACTGGTTTTAAACATCAAAAAAGGATATTTATTTGTTCAAAGTCCTTGAAGACTTGGCACAGTTCATCAAAGTTGTAAACAAACAGTCAATAGATGAAACTACAAAAATATTCTTTCCTTTCTTTAGTTACAGAGGTAACCCTTTTCTCCAGATGGCAGATTCTGGAAACTTAACACCCTAACCTTAAGCTGTTGTGGTTTAGAAAAAAAGCAGGGGTTTTTTTTCCCCTATCTGTAACTTAAGGTTAGTTCTGGAGACAAAGTAGTCAAGATTCTCTCTCTATAACTATATAACTCAATCTTCTCAATTAAACTTATCTGTCTATAATATCTCAAAAACAGCTCAAAACACAATATACTATCTATATTATCTCAATATAGCTTACTCAGATTAGGTTTTGCAATGGTTCTCCCAGAGCTAACTGCCTAGCCATCAGTACGTCTGAAATCTTTCCTAACTAAAAAGGCAGGGGAGAATCTAAAATGGAGATCTTTCCCTGGGAGAAAAGGCGGTCCCTAAACTCAATGAGCTGCTCTCTAAGCCAATAGTTGCAAAGAGGCCTGCAGACTCTGAAACTATTAACTTTTAGGACTCTTTCAAAGCTGCAGCAGTCCTGGGAGAAAATGCAAGAGGAAGCAACCTCAAGCAACTATAAAGTAAGGCAAATCAGGCTCCTGGGAGATGGAACAAGCACTCAGACGTTATATTGGCACTGCGTGGTTACTAATCATAAATAAGGTAGTTTCTGCTCTTATTGATGTATGGAGCATAGATATATTAATCTATATGTATACTGCCATGATTTTCTATTATGGTACTTGGGATTTGTTTTTTATGGTGAGATCCTTAGAATTTTACTAGAGGGCTTAAGTGTCATTGGATAGATCCACACTATAGAATTAACACAGTTTGATGTCACTTTAACAGGTTTAATTCTATGTAATCCAGGAATTTGTAGGCATCAGCTCTAATTGCTGAAGACTTGATTTCTATAACCTGGAGCCATGGCTGTTTATTAATGCCAAAAGGCATTAATTCTATAGTGTAGAAGTTTACTTTAGCTCTCTAGCAGAGAATCCTCAGCCATACACTCCTGGATTGTATATTTATTTATTTATTTATTTATTTTCTGCCCTTCTCACACCAAAGAGGACTCAGAGTGGATTACAGAACCCATACATGTTGGAGCTTAGTCTGTGATTGTGTTTAAGGATCAGGGTACTTTGGATGTAGGAAGTGATGACAATGAGTTTCAAGATGGCAATGGTCTGGTCAATGATATTGATGCAGAGAATGTCTAGGAGATCCCTGTTCAAGGTGTAGTTTCTCATGAGAATGTCCCTGAAGGGTGGGGATGGTGGTGTGCTCCTTGAAATGCTACCAGAGAATGGCCATGATTTGGAGCTTGAAAACAGCTCAGCACCTGGCCCAGCTGCGGAAATTAATGAGCAAATAGATAGACAGGAGGAGCTTAGTCAAAACAGAAGAGGCGAACAGTGGCTTCAGCATACTGCCAGGCTCAGAGAGAGAAAGATAAGAGACTCGAAGCTAAAGTGAAACCAATTTCTGAGCGCTTGGGACATAACTTAACGAGGAGATAAAAGTCCCTAGTACAGGATCTGTAGTCAGATGAAGCATCATTTGGAATCAAGTCAAGTTCTCATCCTCGTTTCTTGGAAGCTTTGCTTGGAAAGATTCATGCTTAAGTGCCTTTGTTTCATGGTTTTGATTCTTGGATTCTATGATTTTATATTCATGCCTTGGATTCATGTTTCCTGGTTTCTTGGATTTTATTAGAGAAGTTTTTGCCTTTGTTTTTCATGGACTTTGATGGACTATTACCCTGGACTACTTTGTTCTGGCTTATCTTCCTACCTAATTGGATTTACCTATTTCTTTAAAGTGCTTTTTACTTTACTGCTTTGTAATTATCTTCAATAAAGGGATTGTTTTCCTACTCAACTGCATGGTGTTTAAAGTCAGAGGGCTCTTCCTGGTCTGGAGTGCAACAATACATGGCAAACATTCAATGCCATTATACACTGACAAGACAGATAACTGTACATAGATAGAGGTGTATATATAGGCTCTCCTATCTTCGGCATCTTGAAGGCAGTGCTCGGTTCTGGCCACCGGGGGTGCTGTCGCTCCACTTTCCCTGCTGAAGTTAGCTTTGTTTGTAAACTTCCTCCTTGATCTAATCACCAACATTTTTTTCTGTCATTTCCTTATGGGTGCCTTAAATACCTCCCTTCTTATGTGGTACCTATGTATCTACTCTCATTGCTGTTTTCGAAACTGCTAGGTAGCCAGAAGCTGGGCTAAAGGCCAGGAGCTCATCCTGACCCGGGCTTCGAACTGTCAACCTTTTGACTGATAAGATTTACTGCAGCTGGTGGTTTGACCTGTTATGCTAAAAGTGTGTGTGTGTGTATTATGAAACCATTAAGCACAATATTTACATTCCCTTTCTGATCAACTAGTATTATTTTTTGTAAAGTTGAGTGGTTGTGTGTATGTTTCCATTATTTCTCTCCCTCTTCTCTTTTTCATAGGTTTCGTGTACAGTCCTCAAACTCACTTTCTGATCCAGTCACTATTATTCTTGTTAAAGTTGAATGGTGTCGTGTATGCTAATATTTGCCTCCTTTCTCTCTCTCTCTCTGTCTCTTATTTCACCTAGAGATCCAAAATAGCTGTCTATGAGAAAATGTGGTCATACATGAAGTCGGCCGAACCGTCTGTCTTTGCCAAAACCACGGCGGACGGAGTGGCGCGCGTGAGGAAATCAAAGGGGAAGTTTGCCTTCCTGCTCGAATCGACCATGAATGAGTACATTGAACAACGAAAGCCCTGTGACACAATGAAAGTTGGTGGGAACCTGGATTCCAAAGGCTATGGTGTAGCAACTCCCAAAGGCTCAGCATTAAGGTGGGTGGAATAATATAACAATATCCATGTTGTTATAGTATTCCACCTACCCTGATGTATTGTGTTGTCTTTTTCTTTCTTGTGGAATTGAGGTAAACTTAAAAAGTTTTCAAAACAAACTCTTAACAGTATTACGTGGAGTTAAATAAGACGGTAAATTATGGTTTCATTGACTTTAATGCATCCATTTTCTTTCTAAGTGTTCTCTCCGTGTTGTCCTTCCTGATTGTTTGTTGCTGGTTTTTCCTTCTTTTTTTTTAATTTTACAGTCCAGTGGCTTTTTTCAATTTAGATGGTAAAAGCCCGAGTTTAAAACTGCCATACGTGATGAGTGTTAATTGCATGACGTGGTGTTCTCGTTGCCTTTATTATTTTTTTCCTCTTCTACTTCTTCTACTACTTCTACCTCTTCTACTTCTTTTTTTTCTCAAAAGACAATTTTCCCCATCCCGCACACTTCAGTTTTTTGAGCAAATGTTTATATCCTCCATGCCACCTTCCAATATTGAACCCCCCGTTATCTGCTGTAGTAACAAACACATTAATTCTCTATAGCTCCACCTCCCCGTGAAACAAAACAAAAACCAAACCAAACCAAACCAAAACCAAAAACCAAATTTTTTTCTTTCTGGCCAATTTGTCCTCCTTGTGCTCCTTTCTTTATACGTTTGAACGACTTTAACCGAGCATCTCTGCATTATTCTTACGAGTTATGTTTTATCGTTTCAAGAAATGCTGTTAACCTGGCAGTATTAAAACTGAATGAGCAAGGCCTCTTGGACAAATTGAAAAACAAATGGTGGTACGACAAAGGAGAGTGCGGCAGCGGGGGCGGTGACTCCAAGGTCAGCCTCAATGTCACCACAATCGGGTACCTTAGTCAAGAGTAATCGGCAAGGCTGTTATTTTATGCATCAGGGAAAGGAAAAACAAAACAAAAACAAAAAATGCAATGAGCCTGAAAAGGCAAGGAACCATCTTGAAATTGTTGCAACCACTCGCTTGCCCAGTAGCCTATTCAGTTGAGCAGTCCTCCCTCCCTCTTTAATTCTTCTCCCATTGGCACTGCTCACCATTGCAATCAAATCTGGGTCCTTATTTAACTAACAGAGAGAACAAGTAGATTGGTGCATTCTCAGGACTGCTGTTGAAATGCAAACCCCAGGGTGATCCAGTTGGAAGGTCTTCTTCAGTTTGAGGGTCTTCTATGGGAGGCCAGTTTGAAGATCTTTTATTGGAGATCCAGTTTAAAAGTTTTCTATTGGAAACCAGTTTGAAGGTCTTTTATTGGAGACCAGTTTGAAGATAATTTATTGGAGATCCAGTTTGAAGGTCTTCTGGTGGAGCTCCAGTTTGAAGATCTCTTATTGGAGATCCAGTTTGAAGGTCTTCTGGTGGAGCTCCAGTTTGAAGATCTCTTATTGGAGATCCAGTTTGAAGGTTTTCTGTTAGAGATCCAGTTTGGAGATCTCTTATTGGAGATCCAATTTGAAAGTCTTCTATTGGAAACCAGTTGGAAGGTTTCCTGTTAGAGATCAGCTCGAAGGTCTTCTATTGGAGACCAGTTTGAAGATCATTTATTGGAAGCCAGTTTGAAGATTTTTTATTGGAGATCCAGTATGAAGGTCGTATGTTGCAGATCCAGTTTGTAGATCTCTTACTGGAGATCCAGTTTGAAAGTCTTCTATTGGAAACCAGTTTGAAGGTCTCCTATTGGAGATCCGGTTTGAAGGTTTTCTACTGGAGACCAGTTTGAAGATCTTCTGTTGGAAATCTGGTTTGAAGGTCATCTATTGACAACCCAGTTAGAAGGTCTTATGTTGGAAACTAGTTTGAAGGTCTTCTGTTGAAGATCTAGTTTGAAGGTTTTCTATTGGAGATCCAGCTTGAAGGTTTTCTATTGGACATCCAGTCTAAAGATCTTCTACCAAAGGCCAGTTTGAAGATCTCCTACTGGAGATCCAGCTTGAAGGATTTCTACTGGAGACCAATTTGAAGATCTTCTGTTGGAAATCCAGTTTGAAAGTCATCTACTGACAATCCCGTTGGAAGGTTTTTTTTGCTGGAGACTAGTTCGAAGGTCTTGTATTAAAGATCCAGTTTGAAGGTTTTCTGTTGGCGATCTAGTTTGAAGGTTTTCTATTGGAGATCCAGCTTGAAGGTTTTCTATTGGAGATCCAGTCTAAAAACCTTCTACTGGAGACCAGTTTGAAGATCTCCTATTGGAGATCTGGTTTGAAGGTTTCCTATTGGAGACTAATTTGAAGATTTTTCTGTTGGATATCCAGTTTGGAAATCTTCTGTTGACAATCCAGTTGAAAGGTCTTCTGTTGGAGACTAGTTTGAAGGTCTTCTATTGGAGATCGAGTCTAAAGATCTACTACTGGAGACCTTTAACTAAACATCTAAAAGTGGGTAGACTTTCAAGAAATGAGTGAGGTCACTATTAAAGTTGAATGTATTGAAAGGACATGTTCCCCATGCATAGTTGTAAACATATCTTAGGCATCCTTCCATTCTCCAGCTATGCAAGTTTTGTGGAGTTCTTAGCAGCACATTAGCATTAGGATGCAGGCTATTTTGAAGACAGATATTTAGATCTGTTGCTTATTTGAATGCTTTTGTGCATGCTTCACCATCATATGCTATCACTTGTGGCCGAGGATGATTGTCTTCCAAGTATAGAGTCTTGGTGGTGGGTCTGCAAATGACGGTAGAGACCTATACTGGACCTGTGTGGTCTTTTGCCATGAGGACACACATTTCTAGATGGAAGGCTTTCCCAACAAGGGTTTTCTTGACGCGCCTTCATCTTGGCATATTTCTCTGTTTCGCCTCTATTTGCGCCTCTACAGAATCCACAGCACTGTTGGCAATGCAGTTGTTTATAGTGTAGGACTGGTGTCACAACAAATTACAAATCCCAGGATTCCATAGGATTGAGCCATAGCAGTTAAAGTGGTTTATGAGTCACACAATTCCATCTTTGCAAGAACCTCTGAGATGACTTGGGCCAAGAGAGTGTGTGTGTTAACCTTGCAATGTTGTCAGAATTTTAAGAACTCATTATGTCGGAGAAAGAGACTTTGTCTAATGTGCCAGCCTTTTATTTGTTGTTTTGCGGAATGGTTTATGTGTTTAACCGATTTGAATTTTATGATGGTTTCATTGCTTTCTAACTGTCGCATGCTGTGAATTTTTAACTATGTTGGTTTTAACTGTTGCAAGGTGGCTCAAATGCAAAATGTAAGAAAACATCAGAATAGTAATGACAAGAGCCAAGGTAGACTTTCTACTTGGGATTAGCACCTATGCTTTGGGTACAAAATTGAATAGTTTTGCAATGTATGTAAGGACTGCCATGATGTTGCAATGACCAAACATACGTTTGGCAATGATAGCCAGTGGAGTTGTTGATGTTCCATGGACACCAGTATACAACTAGAGTACTCAGTGTACTTCAGAAGTACCTGATGCACACTGGAGTACTCTTGCCCATATGTACATCTTTTCAATTAATTAACATTGTACTTCTAGCTACAGAATGTGTTGTCGAAGGCTTTCATGGCCAGAATCACTGGGCTGTTGTGAGTTTTCCAGGCTGTACAGCCATGTTCCAGAAGCATTTTCTGCTGACATTTTGCCCACATCTATGGCAGGCATCCACAGATGTTGTGAGGTCTGTTGGAAACTAGGCAAGTGAGTTTTCTATCTCTGTGGAATGTCCAGGGTGGGAGAAAGAACTCTTGCCTGTTTGAGACAAGTGTGAATATTGCAATTGACCACCTTGATTAGTCTGGTTGAAGGTCTCCATGTGCTGAAGGTCTCAATGAGGATGCCTGCCATAGTTGTGGGTGAAACGCCAGGAGAGAATGCTTCTGGAGCATGGCCATACAGCCCAGAAAACTCACAGCAACCTAGCTATGGATTCATACATTTACCAAACATCAAGCTTTCTGAGCACAATAATTAAAGAGAGATATTGACAAACTGGAATGTGTCCAGAGGAGGGCGACTAAAATGATCAAAGGTCTGGAGAACAAGCCCTATGAGGAGCGGCTTAAAGAGCTGGGCATGTTTAGTCTGAAGAAGAGAAGGCTGCAAGGAGACATGATAGCCATGTATAAATACGTGAGAGAAAGTCATAGGCAGGAGGGAGCAAACTTGTTTTCTGCTGCCCTGGAGACTAGGACGCAATGGAGCAATGCCTTCAAACTACAAGAAAGGAGATTCCACCTGATCATGAGGAAAAAATTCCTGTGAAAGCTGTTCAGCAGTGGAACTCTCTGCCCCAGAGTGTGCTGGAGGCTCCTTCTTTGGACGCTTTTAAACAGCAGCTGGATGGCCATCTGTCGGGGGTGCTTTGAATGCAATTTTCCTGCTTCTTGGCAGAATGGGGTTGGACTGGATGGCCCACGAGGTCTCTTTCAACTCTAGGATTCTATGATTCTATTATTCTATAACCAAGTAACAACTCCATAATATCTCTGCCACTTCACCCTGCTTATCACATGAGTTAACACATATTGAGCCCCAGAAGCTCTCTGACCGCAGAACCTAAACTCCAATATTGTAGGACAAATCTTCCAAGCAATGAGGTATCATATTTACGATGCTACTGTTAAGAGTTCCTTCCATATGTCATTGTGCAAGGAGGCACTGGATACCTCCTTCCGCAATGGCAACACCCGCATATGTTGGCAACAAGATTCCAGCAGCCTCCATGTAGACATAACTTACGAAACCCTTTGTCATATTTACGAACCCTGTTAGGAAAGGGTTGTGGAATTAATTCCTTTAATTGAGAACTAGTACTCCCCAAAGAGTCCATTAAATTTTCCAGATTGCAATTCCCTTCCTCTATGCAATCTGCTCTTCTTCTTTAAAAAAAAAAACAATTAAAATTTGCAATCACTTTCTATAGTTAATCAACCCACTTGCGGCATGACTATTGATGAGGACGTGCACAGGCAGTTAGCGAGTTCCCTCTCGCTTTTATCAGCACAGCAAGTGGAATAATTATTCCCTGTAATTATATTTGGATAACAGCAAAAACGGTATTAAAACAAGGGAAGTTTTATGTATTTTCTTTTCAGCCATTACCTCTGGGGCTAAAAATAGGGAGTGGAGGGAATGTCGCCAAGTATCCACCTGAGCTCAACCACATAAAATGATGTTACCTATGTGAGTGTGCTTATACCAACATACTATGAGAAATGTGCAGTGGCAGCTTGTGCTGCTGAAAAAGATCGCTGCCTTCTTTGAGTATGAACGGAGATTCTTTTAACCCTCTTATTTCTCGTGTCAGGGCAGCCAGTCAATTATACTACATTTCTAACAGAACAAAGCAAACAAACAGAGAAAATACAAAATGTGTGGGTTTGGTAGTTGATTAAATGTCCTTTGACCAGTATCTGGCCACTTGGAGTGCTTCTGGTGTTGCTGCAAGAAGGTCCTCCATTGTGCATGTGGCAGGGCTCAGGGTGCATTGCAGCAGGTGGTCAGTGGTTTGCTCCTCTCCACATTCGCATATTGAGGATTCCACTTTGTAGCCCCATTTCTGAAGGTTGGCTCTGCATCTCGTGGTGCCAGAGCGCAGTCTGTTCAGCGCCTTCCAAGTCGCCCAGTCCTCTGTGTGCCCAGGGAGTCTCTCATTTGGTATCAGCCAGTTGAGGTTCTGGGTTTGAGCCTGCCACTTTTGGACTCTCGCTTGCTGAGGTGTTCCAGCGAGTGTCTCTGTAGATCTTAGAAAACTATTTCTAGATTTAAGTCGTTGACGTGCTGGCTGATACCCAAACAGGAGATGAGCTGGAGATGTCTCTGCCTTGGTCCTTTCACTATTGGCTGCCACTTCCCGGCGGATGTCAGGTG